ATCTGCAAAGGTGCTAAAGAAGCTTTAGGAACACGGTACTGTATCACACAATAGAAGACCGAACATTAAACCTTGGTTTACATTAGAAGTCAAGAACATTACAAAGGAAAAGAAGGAAAAATACTTACAATACAAGAAATCTCCAACTTCGGAGAACCAAAATATCTATACCGAAATAAGGAACAGGACTAATAATAGAGTACGAGAAATTAAAGAAGAATATTGGCAGCGATTTAGTAGCGAAATGGAGGCGGATATATACGGAGCACAAAAACGTATTTGGAAGATGTTGACGGGTTTGAAACGAGAAACAAATGAAACAATACAACTAAGAACAATTGCAGAAGATACGTGGGAAAAATATTTCAGAGATTTATACGCAGAAACAGATGAACCAATGGAAGCACAAGAGACAAGCCAAAGAGATAATACAGAAGATCATGCGCAGCAATACTTGGAAAGCAGTAATGTCTCGAAAGAACTCACAGAACTTATCAAGGACTTAAACACAAACACAACAATCCAAATAAGAACAAACTTTACCTTAACGCAGCATCTTCGAACTACAACTGGTATTCGCCAAGGCGACAGCTTCAGCCCTCTGTTATTCAACACAATCATGGATCAAGTAATAAAAACCGTCAAGAATACTGGATTAGGATATCGAATGGGAATGCATAAAGTAAACATATTATGCTATGCCGATGACGCAGTACTTATTGCAGAGTCAGAGGACGACCTCCAAAGAATGCTACAAGCTTTTAACAGACAGGCAGAAAAACTTAACATGCAAATTTCCACAAATAAGACCAAATGCATGACCATTACAAAGGAGCCTCTACGGTGCAAATTGGTAATAAAAAACAAAACTATTGATCAGATAATGTCATTCGAATACCTCGGATGCAAAATTACAAGCTCAGGATTCCTGGAAGAAGAAGTAAGGAAACAAGCCAATAAAGCTGCCGCAATATCAGGACATCTTAAATATCCCATATGGAAAAACAAACATTTGAGTACAGAATGTAAGTCAAGAATATACAAAACCTGCATACGACCAGTGATGACATATGGTGCGGAAACCAGAGCTGAAACATCAGTAACAAAGAGAATCCTACGAACTACTGAAATGAAGACCTTAAGAATGATAACTGGATACACATTGAGGGACAGACAGAGAAATGTAGACATAAGAGAAAAGTGCCAAACAAACGACGTTGTCAGATGGATAAGGCAGAGAAGAAGAGAATGGAACCAGCATGTCAATAGAATGGGCCCCGACAGAATGGCCATAATAATTCGCAACAACGTACCCCATGGCAGAAGACCTACTGGACGACCACCTAAACGTTGGCAAGACAGTTAGCAGTCAACCTCGCAAGAGTTGCTTAGACGAGGGGGAAACCGGAACTAAACAGGCGATACGCCTTCTAAAAGAAGAAGAAGAAGAAGAAGAAGAAGAAGAAGATAATCCAGAGATGATACAATGGTTCTCAAAATTTTAGATCAGCGCCAGCGTCTCGACTTTACGATCACTCTCATATGTTTTTTGTAAAATGCTGTCAAGTAATAAATTGGCTACTAGTTCTTTGTAAAATTGATATATAAATATGATTTACAAATTTACTTTTTTACAATAATTGTTTAATTATTTATTTATATCGAGCCTAGAAAGCCAGTCACACCTGCATAATTTGTTTGTTTATATTTGTCTCTATGTTGTAATAATATTGGTATGAATAATGTTATACGACCTGCAAATTGCCTATCTTAACATATATATATCTCACTGTCTCATTACCCTAAATTTGACTTTCAGATTTCTCACAGAATTGCATCCGCCTAATATCTTAAGCTGCTTAAAATGGGATTGTTAGAACAATATTTTACTACCCTTATACTTCATACCGACAACTTTAAAATAATAGTGTTCAGTAAACGGCACGTGTACGTGTAGATTCTACTGCAGGAGATAAATAAAATTTGTTGGAACAATTTTATGCGCGTACACCACGTGTCTGAAACACTCTATGATTTCCCGAATCATTGCTTACGTTGTGTTATGCGATTAAATACCTATATGAACGTTGAATATTTTTACATCTCTTTATTAGCATCTATACGAAACGTACTATAGAATTGAATATAATACTACCAAAAGAAAACAAAACTGCAATGTTCTTGGAATACTTATTGCCTCTGAAATAGTGATGGGCAAAACTGTTATTTTTAGATAACAGTTGAAACAGTTAGAGTTATTTATAAAAAACAGCTTAAAATAACAGCTTAAAAATAACAGGTTTCTTTATTTTACTGCTAAATATCTGAAAGAGTATGAGGCGGTCACCGCCAGGCGTATTAACGCAGTTGCAAGTTGCAACAATGACGTGCTCGGTGGTAGTATTTCCAGGGTGTCAAAACATTTCTAAATATCGATTGTTATCTATAATACCTCTCTAAAAACGGTGGTTGTTTACAAATAAGCGCTGTTTACAAATTGCGATATAAAAAAGCCAAAATTCCGCCACTCGTTTATACCTATACATTCCGATCTACCTACGCCCTGCCCCTCGATCCGCGTAGATCTTGAATTGCGTAGCAGTGTACAGGGTGCATCTCACTCGACTGGCGAGAAGCTCTTAGTTATGATTTTACCATTTGCTGTCAAAAAATAGCAATATAAGAAAATGTGTAGTATATTCTTCATAAGTAAACCAACTACACACTAGAGTTCGAATTAATTTTACACTTAAACTAGAGTGTACCCGCGACTTCGTTCGCGTCGAATTAATAATTTCTAATGGTGATGATAAAGCAAAACAAGAATTTCCATTAACATACAAACTGGATAAAATTTTCTCACATTTGCCAAAAATAAGCTTTCTAACGTCGAGCAGTTTAAGCAGAATCGTGGTTAATCAATTACTCAACTTTTTGGAACACCCTGTATGATTTTTTAAAAAATTTCAAAATATGTAAAAAAAAACAAAATAAATTATGCGTGTCCAGACGTTTTCCCAAAAGACTAACCGTTTTTTAAATAACAAATATTGTATTATTTGAGGGGCGTTTTCACCCTGTTGGAATTTGAGATTCGAGAAACCCCTACTTATCGAACCTCAACCCCACAGTCAATCCATTTGCAAAAAATCAGCTTTAAACGTCAAGCAGTTTAAGCAGAATAGTGATTACTCAATGGTCATATTTTATGAAACACCCTGTATATATTTTTAAAAAATCTTAAAATATGTAAAACAACATAATAAAATATACGTGTTTTAAGAGTTTTTCCGAAAAAAACTCACCGGTTTTAAATAAAAAATATTCTAATATTTGAGAGTAGTTTCACCCTCTTAGAATTCGAGTTTCGAAAAATCTGCTTTTTACGTCAACAGCTTTAAGCAGGATCGTGACTAATCAATGACCAGATATTTCAAAACACCCTGTATACATTTTTAAAAATCTTAAAATATTATTCTGGAAATTTTTCAGATTAAATAAATACCTAAATATTGAAACTTAATAAGTAAGTACTGAAACATACAGCGCCATAATATCTCGACCTCCGCCCGTTATGCTCGTAACAGGTTGAAACAAAATGTATCTAAAACAACTGATGCGTTATTCCCAACCTGTTTCGAACCTCCATCGACAATCGATCGATGCAGCAGCATTCCTTTCCCACTCCGATTATCTCGACTGCCGCCCTGTTATGCTCGTAACAGGTTGGAAAACAACATATCTAAAATGACTGCTTCTCCAACCCGTTGCGAGCCTCCATCGACAATCGACCGATGCAGCAGCGTTCCTTTCCCACTCCTGTTATCTCGACCGCCAGGCGTTATGCCCGCAACTGTTTCAAAAAACCTGCTTCTTTTATATCCTATTATTTTTAAGCTGTTGCAAACCCAATACGACCATTGACGGTATCGACCGAAGCAGCTACGTTCGCCTTAGCGCTTTCCCCACTCCGTTGTCCGCTGTCTCGCCGCCTGTATCGATGGTTGACGAAATAGCATGTTTTCCATCCATACTAATTGTTTTTTAGAATTGCTTCGAGCAGCATAGAATTTCGTGGTGGTGCAGAGCGCCGACTTCGTTTTTCGTTTCACGAGCGGCCGATCTCTACGTGTCGTTATTTTATATCTGTTATTTTTTAGAAGTAGTAACGCGTTAGTTGCGTTATGTTATTTATAAATAATTGTTATGAAATAACAGATAGTTAAATAACAATCCATCACTACTCTGAAACAAGGATCTTTAAAAATAAAAATATCTGTATTATGTAAAAATCATTGCGATGAAAAGATCTACAGACACAAATTTCGATTTTTGAAACAGATTCTGCAGTTATTATATTTCTCATAGCAAGATCGGTGTTTCGTTTTTTCAATTATAGCGGACAGCAAACTGCAGGAAAGAGGAATGGTTTGGTTTGGTTGGCGGTCTGTTCAACATAAAAAACTTAGAGCAAAAACACGTATAAAATTAATCACAGAACTTCAGTACGCTGATGACTGCGCTCTGCTTGCAAAAACGTTACAGCAGTTACAGAAAATGCCGAACACATATACCTGGGTATCGATAAAACTAAAATCATGTGCACTCCCTCGGAAAATCGTAACAGTGCTATCAAAATCGGAGAAGAACTATTAGAATATGTAGCGTAATTCAATTATTTCGGCAGTTTGATTTCGGAAAAGGCCTATATCGACTCTGAAATTCAGCACAGAATTAGCAGCGCCTCAAGACCATTCTGGAAATTAAAAGACAGGCTTTTTTACAATCATGAATTGAGCACAAAAATGAAACTTGCAGTGTACCGAGCAATAATAATCCCTACCATATTATATGACGTTTTCTATATCAACAGTTGATTCCGCTTTGCTTTGTAACTACAGGGCGTTAAAGTCTTAATTTTTTAGACATAATGTATAATTACATATACACATTTTTAATACTATTAAAAGGAATAATAACTGAATCATTGAATCACTTACCTCGTGCATAACATTCCATGTATAACATACAGGTACAGGATGTAAGGGCTTGTAATGGTTCCCGAACGTATACATGTAGATTAGCCACGGGGCAGGTACTAGAAGAGTAAACATATCACAGAGCGCCATAGCCATGAGCACGATATTCGTAGGAGTCCGCATATGCCGTTTCGAGAGCACTACCACTATGAGAGTATTGGCAACGATAGTTATCACTAACAGAATGGGCATAAAGTAACCATAGAGCGGCACCGCATAAGCGATGGGCATTTCGTTCGTCACATTGATGTAAGTTGGCGTCTCGTTTGTACCGTTGTCGTCCCGATCCTCCATATTTGCTTCACTCTCGGAACGATTTAAGAAAGAGCATGTCCAGGAATCGCAGGTGGCTCCTAAAATTGAGATTGCCTCTGGCCGATGCTCCAGGGATGGATGCGCTCGCACGGGTTCATATTGTCTGATGTTGAAGTTTGATTATTTCGACGTTACATCCAACCTGAAACACAAAATTGACTTTTAGTTATACGGTTGGTTATGGGAAAGGTAGTCAAACAATAAAATTGAGAGACGACACCTCTTGTGTTTTTGTGTATTTATCTATTTCTTAATTTGGTTTCTTTTTTTTTTTTTGAAAAACACAAGGCTGGTGTCCAGTATCTAACGTTAACTAAAAAAATTGTCTATATTTTTTGTAATTCTTGCTGCAGACGCAGTAAGAAATACAACTTGTATTTCTTCTTCAGATAAAAATATAGACAAATTGCAGTCGTGTCATTGTGAAAACAAAAATTAATTATTTTGAATTGACAGTCTTCTCTCAAACTGACGATATATGTATATTGCGATTAGGTATAATATATTGCGTTAGATGACGCTGCTTAAAATATCTCTGAATGTAATGCAGATTTCTTTTTAAATTTAATTTTTAGTCCTTTATCCAAGTCATAGATGGCGCACCCAGAGTACCCAACAATTTTTTTACAGTGTGTAAAAGCCTCCATAACAACAACAAGTCAAGAGTGTCACCATCATGGATCACTGAGCGATCCCTTCCTAACAAATACAGGAGTTCGGCAGGGATGTGTCTTAGCGCATCTCATATTCAACATATTCATGGCAGCGCTCTCCATTATAGTGGACAGCAAACTGCAGGAAAGAGGATTGGGCATTAGATACAGATATGACGGCGGTCTGTTTAACATAAAAATACTCAGGGCAAAAACACGTACAAAATTCATCACAGAACTTCAATACGCTGATGACTGTGCTCTAGTTGAAAAAACGTTACAGCAATTACAAGAAATGTTACATATACCTTGGCATGCGAGGTTTTGGGCCTTAATATAAGGCCCAATAATTAATAATAAACATTGATCACAACAATATCCTAAAAATCGGAGAAGAACTATTGGAATATTTAGCGGAATTAAATTACCTCGGCAGTTTGGTTTCGGAAAAGGCCAAATATCGACTCTGAAATTCAGCACAGGATTAGCAGGGTCTCAAGAGCATTCTGGAAATTAAAAGACAGGGTTTTCTACAACCGTGGCTTGAGCCCAAAAACAAAACTTGCAGTATACCGAGCAAGAATAATTCCCACCATGGTATATGGAAGCGAAACCTAGGTGTCGATGCCGCGCCGTACCGCCGACACATGATCGCATTAAACAAGTTGCAACAGAGACACCTTAGACAACTCTTAAGAATCAGATGGTTCCACCATGTCTCAAAAGTATCTGTCCTTGAAAAAGCTAGCTGCCAGAGCGTTGGAGTCGTGATTACAAAGGCTTGCTTAAGATGGGCGGTTTACGTATGCAGAATGCAAGAAAACCGCCTACCAAAATCTCTGGTTTACGGTGAGCTTGTAGACGGTAAGAGGAAACCGGGTGGACAACTCAAAGTCAATGGGCGAGTCAATGGATCTAATTAAGGAATCATTTCCACCTGACATCGCGGAGCTTTTGCGAGTGTGCCTGACTGGTCGCTAGTTTTTATGGAACGGCAATTACTACGAACAAACAGAGGGTGTCGCAATGGGCAGCCCAATCAGCCAAATAATTGCTAATTTCTTTATGGAAAGATTTGAAGAAAAAGCGCTAGAGTCATCAGTTCTGAAGCCCGCAGTATGGTTTCGTTATGTGGACGATACATTTGTTGTTTGGAAACATGGACGAGACAGCCTAGATAACTTCCTTCATCACCTTAATACACGGAGCCCGAGCATAAAATTTACCATGGAAACCGAAGAAAACAACCAACTGGCCTCTCTCGATGTGCTTGTCAAGAGAAATGGAGACCATTTGAATCACACGGTGTATCGAAAACCCACTCATACAGACCGGTTTGCATAAACTGTCAAATCGCCATCCAAGCCAAAAACAGGTGATTATCGGAACACTAGCAAATAGAGCAAGACGCATTTGTGCTAAGGATCACATACAAGAGGAACTAAGTCACTTAAATAAAGCCTTTCTTGCTAATGGGTATAATGAGAAAGAAATAAAGGCGGCGCTAGCACCTAGGCAGAAGAGTCTTGACGTCAATGAACAGAATAACACCGTTAATAAGGCCTTCCTTCCATATGTCTCCCAGGTCACCGATAGGATTGGAAAAGTTCTCAGGAAACACAACATCAAAACAATATACAAACCTACCCGGAAAATAAAGGACTGCTTGAGACCAGCCAAAGATAAAAGGGCACCATTATCCTCTGCAGGGATCTACCGTATACCTTGTTCCTGCGGTAGCGTATACATTGGAACTACCAAACGCTCAGTAGGAACGAGACTTACGGAACACAAGAGAAACTGCAGGTTAGGGCAAACAGACAAGTCGGCCGTAGCAGAACATGCTCTAAGATATGGTGACCACAAAATCTACTTCGAAGTCACCCAAGTCATTGCCACAACATCTGGATATCATCCTCGTCTGGTCAGGGAAGCTGTTGAAATTCACAAACATCCAAATAATTTCAACAGGAAGGAAGAAACTCACTACCTAAACAGAATTTGGCATCCAGCTATATCTAGGACCAAGGTAGCAGTACAGAGAAGTAGACCAGTTCCGGAAGAACCACCACCGGAACAAGCCACGCCCCCTCCGCCGACGCATAAATTCTAACCAACGACGGCCTAAAAACCCGAAGAAACAAATTTCTTCAATGGTTTTATAATTCGGAAACCCTCTGTTTATTTATCTAGCAATTCTAGAACACTCTATTTAATTTGAAAGTCGATTAGAGAAAATAGTATGATTCAGTGGCAAGCGATATAAATATTTGTGATCAGGTAAAAATGTGATGTAAGAGGAGGCTTAGCTTGCCGGCGCGCGGCAAGTCAGTCAGTAGTAGACGGCCGGCTGTTAAGTAGTTTTGTGTTGTGTTTTGTCACAGAGCTGACATTTGGAGGTTGCGAGTCTTTGGACTAAGGTTGAGAGTCTTTTTGACTATTAAGGGTACGAATATTTTGACTATTAAAGGTACGAGTCTTTGACTATTAGGATGCGAGTCTTTTTGACTATTAAGGATTCGGGTCTTTAAGCTTATTAGGATACGAGTATTTAAGACTATTAAGGATGTGAGTCTTTAAGCTTATTAGGATGCGAATATTTCAGACTATTAAGGATGCGAGTCTTTAAGCTTATTAGGATGCGAGCATTTAAGACTATTAAGGATGCGAGTCTTTTGACTATTAGGACGGGAGTCTTTATGACTATTAAGGGTACGAAGGATGCGAGTCTTTTGAGTACTAGGATGCGAGTCTTTATTACTATTAAGGATAAAACAATAAGAAACTTACATAAAGTTAAATACAGTTGTTAATAAAAACATTATTTTACAACAGGCAGGGGGTGGATGGGTGGTAATTTTTATGCATTTTGTTATAGAGTTGTGAGGCAGGCTAATATTAAGGATGCGAGTCTTTTTGACTATCAGGGATGCGAATCTGTTTAGCTGCGGATTTGCGTCCGGGAAAAGCCTCTATACTTATTTCAGGTGACACCAGCTAGTTGTTGAAGAATAACGAATAGATCCGAATAATATTTGAATTAGATGGAAGATATGGAATGGGATATATTGAACAGAATACCAGTGGCTAGGGGGCGGAGTACCCCCGGGTGAGTTTTGCTATTTAACTCTCAATTTTATCCAGATCAGTAAATGTTTGTTTTGCTATTTTCATGTACAATGAGAGCCTGCTTGCCAATGACCAACTAAATGGATATTTGAGGTGAATTTGCATTGTGAGACCCGGTTGAGTAAGCCCCAGAAATAAGCGATTTTACACGTATTGTAACGGAATTTTAAATTATGTCTTTATTTTCGAGAAAATTTAGTCCAGACATCAAAACCTTAAAAATAAAGAATTTGTCTAAAAATGTGCTACAATACGGATATAGTATAATCATTTATCTTTAATTTCCTTCTTCATTTGTGCAAAAATACCTAGTCAGTTTTACATAAAACGTTAAATGCCGAACGCTTATTTTGCTACTTTTTTGGACTAGTGAAATGGACTCTTAAAAAAATACGTTAAATACCTTACTTAGAAGGCACCTTTTTTTAATAAAAAAAACAACAAAAATTATAAATTTTGCATTAATATTTTATTAGGCCCCGCAAAACTCACACAATGCACACAAATGCAAATTTTATTATATTCGGGATGACATAAACTTTTATACCTTTTTTCATTGAATATTGGTTCATCATTCTGGAATGTTTTTACCAGAATGAAAAATCAAACAGTTTTATTATGACACATAAAATATGTCATTTAAGTTTTATTATTTCAACGTTATGGTACCTAAAATTCAAAATTGTCCTTTAGTTTTATGGCATGTTATAGAAAAAGTAGCGTAAAAACAGTATAGTATTATAAAAAGAACAAGAGGCTCGTATTTAAGGGAAATCACGAGTTTTCAGTATCGTTAATTTAGTTTGTAGAAAAATTAATACCAAAAATTTAATTATTAATTTAAAAAGAAGACATAGAAAGACTAGGTACAGGATAGTAATGGGCTTTACGATTCTTTTTAGTGAATCGAATCACACGATTCAATTTCTCATATTGAATCGACTCCTACGATTCGTTCATTTGAACTTTTACGGCTCATCGTTCAAATGTTATGGATCCGTGCTGCCCACGATTTAATTGAACGAACCTTATTGCAAGCAGTGAATCGAATCTCACGATTCATTTTTAATACTCGTTCAAATGAACGACTCTACATCTTTGCCCACCTCTAGTACAGGACCATCGACTTTTTAGATAGAAATGTCTATAGTTGTGAATGTTTCGAATGCCTTTCTTCTACAGGGTTGTTCACCACATACGACACTGAGTATTGTAGCTAAATGATTAGATTTTTACAAATTGTAAGTTTTGGGTTCGTTGAAGGACTATTAGAGCTACAATTTAAAAATATTTTTACAAGATACAGAGTGTCCCAAATAAATAAAAAATATCAAAGTTGTATTTTTTTAAATGGAACACCCTGTATATTACATTTTTAGTTTTTACGATTAAAGTAAAGGTAAATTTGATTAAGGTTTATTACACTTAAACCTTGCCGTTTTTAAAATATTTTCAATTTTGTGAAATTGCAGTAAAAATTTTAAGGCTTCATTTCTCTAAGGGTATCAAAGTTTTTAATACTAAATATTTACTGAAGTCTATTTACTGATCAGTTATTGTGTTGCAATAATAAAAATAATACTACCTCATACAGAGTGTCTAAAAATTTATTTTATATTATTTCTAGCTTTAAACGGCAATAACTTGTTTAATTTAAATGGAACGCCCTGTATATTTTAGGATAATCAGATGTACAATATAATTGTCTATCAAATTGTATTAGACCATTTTTATCTATCCCTTCAAGTTTTCGTAGAAAATGCATTTTCTTATAATTTAGACCTCATTTATCAATATACCCATGGAATATTGACATTTTAGATTGTTTTTAAAGCAACAAATGTACAAAATGTACAGGCTAGTAATATTTTCGTTTTTAGCAAAATGATAATATTATTAGCCCATTTGTATGCAAAAAGAAAACTATTTAACTCTTTATAAAAGATTATACCATTAATTAAATATACCACCATTATTTCCGCCCAAATACTAATTAATTACATACTTAATTATGTTCGTTAATAAATTATTCTAAATGAATGTGGATTTGAATCAGAAGTCAATATAATAATAAGTTATGAAAATGAATGTCTCTGTTGTTATAAATACGCTCGTAAATAAGCATTTGTTAAAAAATGAAATATCATTTTTACCACACTGTCTAATACATATACAAAATTCAGTTTTTCAGTATTTGGAGCAATTAATGTTAATCAACGCAAACAGTCAATTAATGTAGTTTGAATACTGGAATCATATTAACTGGTCCTCTTTAACAAATATTTAAACAGTTTTTTTATATTTTTTAAAGAAATAAACAAACTATATCGACAATATTAGTATTTTTACTCTTTAAAAATTTGGTACATCTTTAAAAATAATCTAAAATATCAGTATTCCATGGGTATATTGATAAATGAGTTCTAAATTACAAGAAAATGCATTTTCTACGGAAACTTGAGGAGATAGATAAAAAATGGTATGATACAATTTGATAGACAATTAAATTGTGCATCTGATTCTCATAAAATATATAGGGTGTTACGTTTAAATTAAGCAAGTCATTCCCGTTTAAAGCTAGTAATTATTTAAAATAAAATTTTAGACACTCTGTATAAGGTAGTATAATTTTTATTATTGCAACACAATAACTGATCAATAAATAAACTTCAGTAAATATTTAGTATTAAAAACTTTGATACCCTTGGAGAAATGAAGCCTTAAAATTTTGACAGCAATTTCACAACCTAGATTATAAAAGTTAGTGAGTGTATATTACAAGATACTTACCTCGTAGGATACAGTGTGAAGCCGCCATAAAGGGCAACTCTGAGCCGAACCGAGCATGGAAAGGGTAGACTAGCTAGTGAGAGGGGAATAGTGAATTACATTATTGCTGTTCCAAATGTCAGTACTGCATTAAAATGTCGGATAAGTGATGCATTGGGCTGTCCACAGTAAGTTCGTACATATTTGGTTCCAGGTTATCGGTCACATGACGAGTTGGTATCTGGTAGATTAGGCATACTTCGGATGATAACATGATAGGCACTTTTTATTAGAGAATGAATTATACTATTTGTCGTAGTTTATAAACACGGAGTGGTGTGGGTGGTCAGGATAGAGTTGTAAGGTTCAACGACAGCGGTGGAGACTTGAGGGGCGGGGTAGATATGCGAATTCAACTGTGATATTGCGACAGCTTTTCAATACGGTAGGAGCAGCCATATCGTGGATACTGTGTTTCACTGGAGAAAAACTAGAGTACATTGTAAAGAAGTTCTGAAAAATTTCTGGCATTCCTGGGAACCCTGTATTGCTGGTTATTATATTATACTAGAATATAAAGGACTTCATTTTTAATAATGACAGTCAATGTATTTTATTGTTAATTATAATCACTTATTGTAATGGACTTCATTAGTGTTCCGATTGTTAAATTAAATAAGTTAAAATATTAATTGCCATCCACCTGCGTAAAGAGAGTTGTGTATCGGTTTTAGTCGCTATAGTTTAATGCTAGAAAACGAACCGTTCTCGCCGATCGCCCTACTCTACTAGTGCATACTAAGTGGAGGGGAGCGCCAGTAGAGTACCTTGGCTGCAGATATAACCGAGACTTAGAATTCCGGGGCGGGAAAGACTTGATACGCTGACGACGAAACAGTGAAGTTTGATGCCCGGAGTGCCCCGCTCGTGCAATGACGACGCGCAGCTGCCGGAGGAGCCGGCCGGACGAGGCATAAGGTGAGTGCCGGAGTCGCTCACTGAACCCAGCTAAAAGCACCAGCCGCAGAAGTGTTCGAAGGTAGGTTGTATTCTTGTTATGATTACTAGTGGTTACTGTACCACCTAGGTGCGTTTTAGGGATAAGGGAGAGCGGAGATTGCCGACCAGGCGAAAGAGGGAATACGGGTTGCTAGGGCAGGTGCCGGAAATCGTGTCCCGGAAACTATGTAACGTAAAGGTAGTCTGAGAACTGCT